TGCGGCGACGCTGGGCGTGCTGAACGACATGTGCGGCGCCGTGCCGGCGCTTGGCCCCACCGTGCGGCATGCGGCTGGCTGCCTGCTGTGTCTGCTGCTTTGCACCCGCGGTGCACCGCTGACGCCGATGCTGGCCATCGTCCCGCTGCTCAGTGCCACACACCAGGAGATACTTCTGGACGCCGCGCTCGCCCAGCTTGCGCTCGTGGGTGGCGATGATGCGCTGAACGACGCAGACGCGGCCGTGGTGCTTGACATCGCCGCTTCAACCACCTGCGTCAAGGACGCGTCGAGGGTAGAGTCGTTGCTTCTAGCGATGCTTGCCCGCCACTGCCCGTGCGTTGGCTCGTTGGGAGGTCTGCGCCTCGCCCTGGGGGCGTCTTGCGGTGTCGCAGCCGTTGGCATGGTTCTTCGGAGCCTCCGTGTCGACGCGCTGGTAGCGAGCCTCGAGCCCACTGCAGCGACCGTGGCGTACGTGCAGCGTCTCACGTTGGAGGAGCGGCGCAGCCTTGCCTTGTCCAGTGCGTGTGGTTTTCTTCTGGTAGAGCTGACTTCCACCAGCACCGCCGTGGATGGCGAACAGCAGGAGTTGCAGCTGATTGCAGGGGCAAGTGTCACTGCGGCTGCGGTGTCGCGCTTGGCAGAGGCCCTTGCGGAGACTTCGAACCCTCTGAGGCTGGTGCAGCGCGTGTTTCCACATATGCACCAGTCTGTGCAGGTGTGCGGCATTATTATTGTGCTGTGCACCTCGGTTCGGTCACGTGAGTTGCAGCGGAAGTGGATGCCGTGTGTGGAGCACGCCCTACTGAGTGTCATCCACGCTGAGACGCTGCAGCGTGAAGGGCAGAGTGCTTGTGTGCAGGAGCGTGTAACGCTTTTTATTCGCGGCTTACTGCTGCTACTACTGGTTGTCGCCACACCGGAGGCGGTGCGCTCTCAGCACCCGGGTGTCTGCGCTGCACTGACGCAGCGGCTGTTGCAGCAGCATGCTGGGGAGTTGAAGAGTGTTATTCAGTCGCTGCGCGAGGAGGAGGCGACTGCGCTGCGCCAACTAATGCAGCTGCTGAGCAGTGGTGCTGGTGCAGCTCAGCACGCGTCGGCTGATGGGGCTGAGGTGCAGCGACAGAGGCTGGGGGCGGCGGCGGCTTCGGTCCCGCAGCGCCTCACCATAAATGTGGCGTCATACTCCCAATAGCCGTGCATTTTTCTCGAAGCTCTTCAACATCCATTGTGGCGCTGCAGGAGAGAAGAGAGAGACACTCGAGGGATCGGTGTGTTCCTGTGCGCTAATATATGTGCATGTGAGTCCAAAATGTTTCTGTATCTCTTTGTGTGGATGTTCTTCTTGCTACGATTCGAAATGTATGGAGCCGGGGTCTGCCTGTCTGCCGGAAGTGGGCGGAGGTGCGGCGAGGTGCACATATGTGTGTGTGTGTGGGGGGGGGGG